ACATGGAGTTTAAAAATAGAAACTAGAAGACCATAGTAATTAATTTCAAAGGATTTTACAAACCCTAAGATCAGATTGACTTCATTTAAAACGGAAATCATCTCAAAGGATTGGACACGTAACGGAAATTAAAGAGACACAAATTATTTTAAGGGCAATATCAATGATTAGTGATACTGAAAAGGAACACATACGATTGAGAGATGGTAAAAAAAAAATATATTGTGTTTATTATGGATTATTTTAACTCTCTCCTAATAGGTCTTCCCACAAGTCATATTGCCCCGCTACAGTCTGTAATGAATGCTGCAGCCAGACTGATTTTCCTCTCCTGTCGCTCCTCTCACACCTCTCCCCTCTGTTAATCCTTACATTGGCTTCCTGTATCCTATAGGAGTCAATTCAAGGTGCTAATCCACACATATAAAACAATGACCAATTCTAGTCCCTCTTGTATCTCTTCACTGATCCACAGGTATGCCCCTTCTCTGTCTCTCCGCTCTGCCTGTGACCTTCTCCTGTCTGTTGCTCGCACCCGTACAGCCAACTCGCGCTTGCAGGACCTCTCGCGGGTGGCTCCCTTCCTATGGAATAGCCTGCCTACTGCCATCAGACTCTCCCCTAGTCTTCAATCATTTAAGAAGTGCCTTAAAACCCATCTCTTTAGGAAAGCTTATGGCCTCCCAGAGTAACCTCTACCTCACATACCTGTCTCTTGCTCTATCCTGAATTGCAGCACTAGACTGTAAGCACGTTTGAGCAGGGCCCTCTTCAACCTATCTTTCCTGTAAGTTTTTGTAATTGTCTCATTTATTGTTAAATTTCCCCCTTTGATAATATTGTAAAGCGCTATGGAATATGCTGGCGCTATATAAATACCAGTAATAAAAATAATAATAATAATAACAAAGAAGCAAATTGGTTTTCAGTCATAATTTCCTACTGAAGTGAGATTTACATATTACCTGATGAATGCAAACTTCTTGTGGAAATAGCCCCTAATTCTGAAATATTGGGGGGCTTATTCGCCAAGCAATGCATAGCTGTGGATTGTAGTGAAAACTGAAAATGAGGTGAAAAAATATCAAAGTTACAAAAGTCAATTTTGGCAGCAGTTTGCCATAGAAGGCCCTGGTGCAGGAATATTTGGGTGTTCCACCAACTTTCTTTCCCTGCACTGCCCTCATTTTTAATCAATTCCATTAATATATCAGTGTTACTCCAGCTCTCCTCTTTTAACGTGTTCTTGAACTCTTTGTGCGAGTTAGTCGATGAAGGCAGATCTTGTAGAGTTTGAATCTTACAATCCTGCAAGGCTATGACAGTCTAAAGAGTTAATTCACAAATAATCTGTTGTTAAGACCAGCCTAAAACAGGAGCTGTAACTGGGATTAATCATAATGTGCAGCCGATAATGAGTTGTGAAAAGAGACATATATTTGTGACAGGGTAGAGAAAGGAAGCAATTCATTAGGAATTTCATTAAAGGGGTACCCCAGGTACCGGATATATCAATGGAATTCCTAGATTAGGTCACAATTAGACATATTGGCATGTTTCTTTAATTAATAATCTTTTTTGCCATTAAAATAATAATACGCTTTGCTTCATAAACTGCAAAAACTAGTGATATCTTGGAGCGGCACAGACACAGGCAAGGTTAGGTTCAGAGATGCAGGAAGGGTATGTAGCTGCATGCATGCAATAGGCAGCTTGAAGGGACACTCCAGGCACCCAGACAACTTCTGCCCATTGGAGTGGTCTGGGTGCCAACTCCCATTACCCTTAACCCTGCAAGTGTAATTCTTGCAGTTTTTTTATAAACTGCAATAATTACCTTGCAGGGTTAACAGATTGTTTTCCTGGCACTGGAGTTTCCCTTTAATCATAGTCATAGGGAAGAAAATGTAAAGATAGGAGTATAATCATGCTTAGAATGTAATATTAATTAGAAAAATAATAAAAAAGATGCATATACTGTAAACCATTGTAAAGGATCCTTCTATTCATGCAGCGATGATCCTTGCAGCTTCTCCCGACATCCAGCTGAAACAAAGTGATTATAACTCCCAATCCCCCATGAAGGGGTAAAACGATCTGATTTACTGTGGGCTACCTGCCCGGTATTTATGCAGGTCTCCCACCTGGTGGACACTCCCCTAGGGGACCAGATGGAAGACTGGGACAAAAGCATTACAGTAGCCAATCACAGTGGCTATAACATAAGCACTCCCCTTTTACATAAATCACTCCCTCTTTTCCATCCTGGAGATAATTAACTTAAGTGAGTAAAAAGAGCCTTAATTATCTCCAGGTAGAAAGAAACATGGCTCTTCTTATTTTAGCAAAACAGCATAAAAATCTATAACTTACATTTTACAGAACATAAACTTTAAGTCCCACATATCCCCAGATAACTTGGATCTGAGTGCATATTCTAGGCGAATAGCGCTCAGATCCCACGAACACAGTTCTCAGAAACATCGACTGAAGTTTGGCTTTCGCCAGCCGTTCGCGGGATTGTAGCCGACAACAAGTTCCATACTGTAGCTATCTGTGGTCGGTCACTTTCGCGTACTTCCAACGCACGAATGAGGTAGTATCTCTGGCATTCATGTGTTTTTCCACCGTACGAACGAGGATTTGAAGAGGTAGTAGCGGTGTTCGGCAAAATAAGTAGCCGAAATTAGTTCCAGGGAATCATCGCCATTTACCGCTGAGCGGTCGACAATGCAAAATGGCGATTGCCACGTGTTTGGTAAACGAACTGAAGGTGCCAAGGGCCAAGTTAGAATGAGCTTTCATTCTAAGAGGTAAAATGACACAAGAGGTATGAGTAAGATGTATTTAATGAATGGAAAAAGAAGGTTGCTAGAAAAGTTTACAATGAAGGGTTAGTTTTTTTTTATGTGACGTGGGTACAGCAGAGAAGGTGGGATGGGGAGGGAAAGCTGTTAACAGTTTAACTAATATGCCTTCTTGAAAAAGTAAGTTTTTAGTGTTTTTTTTTTTAATGGAAAACAAAACATTACTGTTTAATTTACTCTATCAACTATTTGATAAGTTATAGAACCACGAATGGAGGTCTAATACCCATTATTTTCAATAATGTACATGAGCATTTTCTGTTATCCTCATTATAGATTTCGAGTGTGGTATTAAGGGTCTTAAACTAGAACTATCTAAGCACTTATATGCCCAGATCTCACATGGTGAAAAAAAATCATAGGGACCAGAATGATATTAATAAACTTCAGGATTTATTTCATAGATGAATAGAAAGAAAATTCAGGAGTAATCGTGGTAGAGATGCGGGGAGCGACATTTGTGGATATTGTAAGAATGGTGATCCTCCACCAATGGCTATGATATAATGGCTGACTTGGCCTCTCTTGTTGACAAGTAAGATTTTTTTGAATACGCCCTTTGTCCTTTTTTTTTGTACATGATAATATGAAGCTTTTCTTACTACCATATTCAGAAAGAACACTATTCACGTCATGTTCCAGTATATCCATGCTATTATTTTATTACCGCTACAGCTTTTAGCATCACTAAAAAAATAAAACCTGATGTGAAACGCTGATTATTATTATGCTTCAGCATGCATTATTAGTTTTAAACAAGATCATCCTGGTTCAGAAATGTTAATGCCTTTGACAAAGAAGGCACAAATCACAAAAAGATCTGACTTTTTAATGTCGGACAAAATTAGCTCATCTGACAGGAACCTAAAATGAAAGATTTCATAAAATTCTACAATCACAGAGGATGAAAAGCAATTTCCGCTACACTTTATTTTTATAGCACTTACAGTTCATACTGGCAGAATAAAATCTACATGGTCTTTTGAGTGGTTTGGGCTGTATTTTTTAATTACCTTTTTGAATGTCTTTTGCTGTTTTTGTAGCCTTACATTTTAACATAAACGATGGGTGTTTTATTGTTACAGCGGTATGTCTGGAAGAAAAAGAATGAAGCATAGGCTGAAAAAAAAAACAGTTAAGCATGGTGGCAGCTCAGTGATGCTCTGGGACTGCTTTGCATCCTCTCGCACTGGAAACCTGCAGTGTGTGGAAGGCAAGATGGATTAATAGAATCATCAGGAAATACTCGGAGAAAATGTCATGCTGTCTGTGAGGAGCTGAAGCTGAAGGTCCATCATTGGACCTTCCAACAAGACAATGATCCAAAACATATTTTAAATTCCACCAATTCTTGGTTGCAGAAGAAGTCCTGGAAAATTCTACAGTGGCCATTACAATCCCCTGACTTGAACCCCATAGAAAATCGCTGGTGAGATTTGAAGAAGGCGTTAGCAGCATGCAAACCCAAGAATACCGGGGGCCATAGCTCATGAGAAATGGGCTAAGATTCCTCAGGAACGCTGCCAGAAGCTAGTGTCTAACTCTGCATCCCATTTGCAAAAGGTCATAACTGCAAAAGGGTGCTCTACTAAGTGCTAAAGAGGCTCACCATGAAGGGTGATATTGAATAATATTGAGACAGCAGAAGTCATTATAAGTTGCATTTTCAGTTAAATTTGTGAAAAACCCCTTGAAGCATTCATTGTGTTGAGCTATTTCAATTGCTTTTGTCTGATTTGTTCTTTGCAAACAGCTGAACGTCTGTAAATTTTGACAATAAGCCTAATTTTAATGAGGGTTGAATAATCACTGATTACAACTCTATGCTACTTTTAAATCACATCCTAGAAAGTTGACCTCTCTGTTGCACATAGCAAGAAAATTCAAATTTTATCACATGACAGGAGGCTTCATATTTTGCATTACTTTCTTTACTTTAGCCTCCAGCAGCACAAGTCAATCAGAAAAAACTTTAAACCAATCAGTAACAGGCATCACATCCATATATAAAGCCCTGACAGACACATGACTTCCTCTTTCTTTGCTGCTTACCAGCCAAGACACAGGTCAGAGTATTTTGCTCCAAGCTGTTTTACTAATATTGCAAATTGTCATTAGTTAATCATGTATTGTTTAACATTCAGTTTGCTCCAAACTGTTATTTTATTAATATTGCTATGGTCACTGTAGTTAGACACCTTATGCTAGACATTCAGTTTTAATCCAAACTGGTTTTCTGGATATTGCAATGGTCACTTTAATTAAACCTTATTACTTGACTTTCAGTTTGCTCCAACTGTTTTTATTAATATTGCTATGGTCACTTTAGTTAGATTTTTAATGCTAGACATTCAGGGCCGTCTTTAATATTGATTGGACCCTGGACAAGCATCTGTTTTCGGCCCCCTGGGCATGCAATCACTCCCTCCACCCCGACCTAGAGGCGAAACTAATGTAGAGAGTTCCTTGGTGCAACAAAAAAAAATTCAGGCCTGCCCTGTAGCACAAGAGTAAAGAAAAGATAGATCCCCATCTGTCATACAACTCCTGCGATGCTATGCCAGGTGGGGATCTACCATCCTTGCAGGGTTGTATTTTTGAGCAGTGTTTGTGCAAATGAATGTCAGCATGTTATTGTATAGAGTGTATGTGTGCATGTAGGAGTGAATTTGTATGTACTGTTACCATTGGAATGCAGTGGTGTACTTGTGTGCAGGCCCGGACTGGCCATCGGGCATACCGGGCAAATGCCCGGTGGGCCGCGATGGCCGTGGGGCCGAGGCCGGCAGGGGATCTCCCCGGCCGGCCCCTGCAGGGCCAGCGCTATCCGAGCGCCGGCCCTGCTATGTGCCTCCCTGGGCCGGTGGAGAGATCAAAGATCTCCCTCACCGGCCCAGAGACAGGGAGATGCGGCCGCCGGCTGGGTGAGGGAGGGAGGAGAGAGGACCCGGCGGAGCTCTAACAAGCAGCTCCGCCGGGTCCTCTCGCGGGATTCTGAGCGTTGCCGCGGCAACGCTCAGATCTCGCGAGAGTGAACTCTAACCTGCAGGTTAGAGTTCACTCTCACCACTGGACCACCAGGGAAGGATGGCAGAACGGCTCCCCTCCTCATGGCAGAATGGCTCCCCCCCCCTCCCAGGATAAAGGTAAGAAGGGAGGGGGGAGAATAATTTTTTTTTTTATTAGTAAAAAAAATATTTAAATTTAAATAAAAAAATACATTCACACACACAGCACCCCCATACACAGCACCCCCCAGACACACACAGCACCCAGACACACACAGCACCCAGACACACACAGCACCCAGACACAGCACCCCCCAGACACAGCACCCCCCGGACACACACTGCACCCAGACACAGC